TCAGGTTTAATTTTTTTAGCTTCACTTGTGTTTTTAATATAGGTTCAGCAAGTGTCCTAAGTTCCCATTGCACCCTTAATATTTGTCTTCTTTCTCTGAGAAAAATACAGTAGCCAGGGTTTTTTTTTTCCCTTCAGATTTGTTAAACATTGCTCTTCTCCTCCTTTCATCTTTCAGGCCAGCGTTAATGTTGGTGGCGCATAACCAACGGTAGCATGACATTGCCCCTTCGTTTCCATGCCCGGTGTTTCACTGCACGAACAAAGCGACACGGCGTCGTAAACGTGCCCTGGTTCTCAAACAATGCTCATTGATGGATCCTTATGGCCTCACAATTGTGCCCAGACGGCACTAAAATCAGCGTATTTGTTTTAGTTTGAACCTGTTCTGGATAAGTGTTGTGATTATTCATGGTGAGTTAACTGCAGTGGTGTTAGGCAATCACACTGCTTCGATTCAAAATAGGTTTTAGATTTGCTAACTCAGAGGTAAGTATTGTACTTTTAAAAAAGTCTAAATTGTTGGTAAGAAAAACAAAAGTGCAGGCAAAATAACTGGTTAAAGAAGTTAATTAAAGAAAAAGAAAAAGTTGGGCATTTAAGGGAAACGTGGTGTTTCTTTCCTTTGTTAAAGGAAAACCGACTGATAAACCTCTGATTGGTGAGCGGGGAGAACGGATCTAACAAGGGTCTGGTGGTCAAACCTTTGAAAAGAAAGGGATGTTCAACGAACAGCCTAAACTACCAAAGGGGTTGGAAGGGTATTGGCTCCGAAGAATTTGAAATGCGTTCATATTGAGATGGCCTTTAAAATTGGCAAGCACAGATTTGAACAAAAAAATATTATGTTATAATTAAGGCTGCTCAATTAATCGAAATTTGATCATGATTACGATTTTGGGGCCAAACGATCTCAAAACTAATAAAATCGGGGGGAAACATTTTTTTTTTTTCCATTTTCTGTTGTGCAACGTTGTTTACAGTCTGCGTATTTCCGTCGCTCCCCCACAGCACGCACTGCGCATGCACTCGGTATACTCGCCGTT